TGTAGCTTTGTTTTCTACTCAGAATTATATACAGTATAATTCTCAAGAAGTTATTTTTTAAAACTTCTTTTGAAAAATTACTTCATTGAAATACCTAACGAAAATTCTGATGATGAAAGTGAAATCTAAGTAGTTTATAATAAAATGGTAATATCGGCCATGGTAGAGATTGTGTGTGTGTGCCTGTGAACATATGTGTGAAACCTGAGGAACTGCAAGTGTTTTTTTTTTTTTTAGCTTATGAAACTTGAGTCTTCAAATTCCAAGTTGCTTCACTAAATATCTTTCTTTGCTTCCCCACAGCTTCTAACAACTATGCTGCATGTTAGGAGTTACTCTGTAAATAGTTGGTGACGATTTTGTTTGAAGCTTGCATCTTTTCTATGCATTTTTCTGCCTTACACATTTGTTGCCTGCTGCAGAGAGACAATAAGCTAAAAGTTAAATGTTTCCTTATAGCCTATAAATATTCAGCAACGTATAGTCGCTTATAGTGAAAGTCTATTAGAAAAGGTTTGATTTCATGTAATTCTTTGAAATGTGATTTACCATCTTAGTAACATCATATAAATAAGCAGAAATGTTGGATGTTTTTCCTGTTGTTATGTAAAATATCAAATAGAAATCACAGAGAAATGTGTTTTGATGCTCTGTAAATGGCCCATTCTTGGATGTTTGTATTGTGGGTTAGGATATCTCCTGGGTTTATTAAGGTCATTTTAATTAGGAAGTATGAAATTTAGTTATAGAAATTGATAATGCTGGGATCATTTTTTAAAAAGACAACCAATCAACATTATATGTAGACAAAAGAGTGAGATTATAGGTTTTCACATTGGCCATTGAAAAGCGAGATTCTGCTAATAGTCGCTTACCTTGATTGTGTATGTATTTTGTGCTGGGGCTATGCATTCATTATTGCATAGTCCTCTCATGAGGGGTTCCCTGAAACAGGCGTCCTCAGTCCCCAGGCCGCAGACTGGTACTGGTCTGTGGCCTATTAGGAACTGGGCCACACAGCAAGAGGTGAGTAGCAGGCGAAGCTGCTTCTGTATTTGTAGCTGCTCCCTAGCGCTAGCATCACCACCTCAGCTCCACCTCAGGTCATCAGGCATTAGATTCTCATAGGAGCACCGGTCCCTGGTGCCAAAAAGATTGCAGACCACTGCTCTAAAAGAAAGTACTATGTATTTCTTGTTCTCATTTTGCTATTGAGAGAGGTAAGGCTTAGAGAAGTTAAATAACTTGTCCAGAGTGATTCATAGTGACAGAGAATTGAATCAGGAGTGTGCAATAGAACTTTCTTCATTGATAGAAATATTCTATATCTGCACCATCCAGTTTGGCAGCCACTAACCCCATGGGGCTGTTGAGCATTTGAAATATTACTAGTCCAACTAAAGAACTGAATTTTTAATTTTGTATAATTTTAATTAAATTAAAACAGTCTGTGGGGCTATTGGCTACTGTATTGGATTAAAAGCATTTTAGAACCTTCCTAAACTGCTCTTAATCATTACATCTACCTCTCCAGTTCAATCCTCTAGACCAAAGCACAGAAGGAAAAGAAATAGTAAGGAAGTATTACCATTATAAATTATACAGAGCTGGAATATTAAAGGCAATTTGATCTCTATCCCATGGGAACGTAAAAGAAACTTGATCTCATACCTAGTTAAGGAGCAGTCATGTAACAGTAGACTTTTGTTTATGATCCTTAATTCTAATGTATTTTTTTCTATTAAATTATCCTCATTCATAGTGTATTAGCATTTTCCCTTCATACCCCTGTGTTCATTGATGCCCTAGAGTAAAGTTAAGCAAGAATTTTCATTCCTTTGTAAGTGGTTTGGCCACCACTCTGAATGCTTCCTGATACTGGATTTGTAACTAGCTGCCTATGTGTCCTTGGTTGATCATTTTGGCCACTTGGGGCCTCTAATTTTCTCATCTGCAAAATAAGAGAATTGAATTAAAGGATTGCATAAGTTTCTTCTAGATGTAAAAGTTCTATGTATAATTTTTCTAATGCCTAAGGTCCTATAGTTGTATATATATATGCAGTAAATTATTTTTTAAATAAGTTAAAATATATATACATTGTTAAAATATATATACAAAGTCCTTAAATTCTTAAAAACAAAACAAGAAATGCTAGAAAGCTGTGCAGCTCTTTAAAGCTATTGAGTAGCTCTGTTCCTTCCTCTTTCATGCTCCTTTTATGAAGAGATAGCTTCACTTTTCCGTAGAATACAAATCAAAGCCTGCACTTCTTTTGGTCTTTCATTTGGAGCAGTGGAAGTGATTGCTATACCCCAAAATATCAGTGAATTGTTGCATTGAAATAATATACTTATTTAACATGTGATGGCAGTTGAAGCCTTGAAAGCAAATAATAAAGTTTGAAATGTTATTTTAGAAGCATAATTTGTTTTGTTAATGTGTGCGCCTATAAAAAATTTAATTTTTTGCCTTTATGCTCATTTTGGAAATAATAGATATTTCATTAAGTTCTACTGTTCATTTAAAATATTTTATCAAAGGAATTCAGTTTACACATATTTGAAGTAGTCTCTATTGTGTAAATCAATGTTTTGAACCTGTAAGTTCATCACTTGCTGATTTCTGTAATGTATCCATCTCTTGCCTGAACTACATACACCAGTGGTCTTCAGCATGTGATATGTGTTAGGATCACCTGTAGGGCTTTTTAAAAATATGATGTTCAGGTCTCACCTCAGACCTAGTAAATCAGTCTTAGGGAATGAGGTCCTGAACATAGATGCTGAAGTGCTCCCCCCATTATCCTGATTCATGCTAGAGGTTGAAAACCAATACCCTGAATGTCTTTGGCAAGAGTTGATCTGTTTGTTAATTGGACTTACGTCAACATCAATTCTGGCCTGTAAAAATGTAGTGATGATAATATCATAAAATTCTGTTCTTTCAAAATTTAACATTAATTAGCATTTATGTTTGATGCTAGCAGTTCACTCAAAAAATATTCAACCAATTCATTTTCTAATCATTATTGTTAATTTAATATGAAGTATAAGAAGTGTGATACAAAAATGTAGGAACCCTAGGAAAGAAGTACTTGATTTATTACTTCAGTTTAACTTGTCCTTGAAAGAATTTGTGGCTTATGAAAATTAGATGTTATAATTTTCTCTCATCCTTAGATTACTAATACTCTAAAATCATTTGTCAGTATTTTGACAACATAAAACTTCATGTTATTGAAATATGTTTTAAATCTTCAAATTGTTATTCATCAAATCCACCACTATTTGTTTTTGCTTATCTTTTCTCCTAGGTTTTAAAGGGGTTCTAATTCTCATTTATGTATATAAGCAACATATAGTTACACATTGCTCAGTACATTTTTATGTTAATGACCTTAAATGTAAAGTTGAGTGTAGTATAATGGATTTTCCAAGTCATTACACCAATAGTATTCATAGTATACAGTACATCTTTTCTAGATATATATTTTGCTTCTATTAGCATTATTGACAGTTATTTGGAAAGAACATTTTTAGGGCCCATATTAATATGGTACCAAAAATATACTGGGCTGGGAGGATTAATATAGAGATATGTATTAGGCAGGGTACTGCAAACTTCCAAAACTGATAAATCTCAATGCAGTGTCAGAGTTCTTGTGAGTATAGTCAATGTGAGTGTTCTTACTGGAGTGACCTTCCATGCATGTAGTTTACCTCATCCTTCATCTAAGTTCTCAGTCCTCTCTATTAAACTAGTGGATAGAGAAAGAAAGACTGAGTAGGCACACCTGCCCCTAGCCACTTTAGCCTGGAGGTGACACAGTTCATTCCATCCATCATAAGACCATGCTTGTGTTGGAGAGAGCGCGGGAAACATAGTCTAGCTATATTTACAGGAGAAAAAGAAAAATGGTTTTGATGAGCATGTAGCAGTCTCTGTGACAGCCCTGATTCTGCCATGAATGAACTCTGTGATTCCGGGCAAGGCACTCAATCTGCTTGACTTCAGTTCCTTTTACTTTTAAAAGTAAAGGATCAACAGGCTTTTTTTTTTTTTTTTTTTTTTTGGTAAAGTTTATTAGATATTTCTATTAAGAAAATTTTCTTAAGATATAGTGGGGCTTGATTTAACAAAGCATTTGGCAGAATGCTAATCTTAAATGTGAAGCTGATGAGAAATGAAAACCACGCTATGGCACAGTTGGTGGTTTTGTAGTTAATTGCACAACCACTGGATGTTGATTACTTAATTCAAGTGATCTTGGAGAAGAGATCTTGTGGGGGTGATTTCATTCTTAGTACTAATTTTTTACTTTTTACCATTTCCACAGTAAATCATATGAAAATATAGAATTTATACTCTTCAAATTATAATTTGGAAATTTCAGATTATTTTTAGGTACCTGGATTAGGCCATCAAATTCCTTTAACCTGTAATATAAGTTGTAGTTTACCTGAGCTTTTGAAGACTGGCCAGAATAGCAAATGAATTATTTATAATACATTTTATGACAATGTTTCATATTTTAAATATCTTATAAATGAAGTGTGGAACATAATCCATTTTTAAGTAAAGGATGACTTTAATTTATATCTCCAAAATAGTTTAATCCTTCCTGCCTTCAAAAAATGGTTTCTTACACCCTTAAATATAATGTTAGAAGATATGGCTATTAATATGAATATAGCTTGGCTCTTTTTCAGCAGAAATGTTGTGTTGACCAGAGAAGAGACCTCAAAAATGGGCACTGCAAAGAATATGGTTAGCTATTAACTAACAGATGCCCCATTCACTCACAATGTTTGCAAGACACACATAGGATTTGAGCCATCATTGATTTTTAAAAGACAAAAATGATGAATGATTTACATTAATATTGACTGATAGTATTGATTACTTCTATTACATTTGAAGGCTTTAAAAGCACTTGATAGAAAGATTTTTTTAATGTAATGGTGATATTTCAAAATGTGTATTCTCTCTCTTTTCAGGACTTCCAATAGTAGTCAGACATTATCATCCTGCCATACTATGGAGCCATGTTCATCAGATGAATTTTTCCAAGCCCTTAATCATGCTGAGCAAACATTTAAAAAGATGGAAAACTATTTGAGACATAAACAGTTATGTGATGTCATTCTCGTTGCTGGTGATCGCAGAATTCCAGCCCATAGGTAACTGTTTTTTAAAGTTCTATGTGTGTGAAATATTCCCTTGATAATTTAGTTATATATGTTGTGATAACTTGTTCCAGTTGACCATTAGGGTAGAATGTTTTGGGGTAGGAGTTTATTTCATGGAATTTCTGCAAAAACAAACAAACAAACTGCATATGAAATTATTACACATTAAATGACCCCAAAAGAGTCACTTTCCTTCTGTAAAAGCATAAAAAAACACACTAGCCTCAGATCAGTCACTATTGTTTGGCATAGATTTCAGCTATAAGCAGCATTCATCCCACCTAATTCTACATATTAAATAGCTTTAAATAAACTCAGTGGAATTTAGAGCTGTGAGTATTTAGAATCAAAAAAGCTGGTGGAATGGAGTGGCAAAAACTGTTAAGAATTTTCTGATAACCCTAGCTGTCCCAACTTCTATTTGCTGACTTCCAAGAAATCTGAGAGGTAGTGGTGCTGGAGAACAAAAGCCTTTAACACAGTATTATTTCCTGATGTAAGAAAAAGAATAAAAAGAGCTGTTTACTAAATAACAAGTCATTATTTTTCTTCTAATAATTTCATATTCTGTTGTTTAGTGTTAATTACCATTATGATCCCAAAGGTTTTTTAGTGCTTTTCATATTAATTAACATCCTGTCCCAAAGGTTCTGTTAAACCCTCCAAAGTGGAAGTAAAATCAGGACAAATGCCCTTGGTCTTAGATTTTCAGTGACTTAAATCAGCATGAGATGCTACTACGTACTGTGACAAAAAGTCCATGTTACATGCATCAATTTATTAGAGAAGGTATTTTAACTTGAATTTCATAGAAGCATCTCAAATTCTCTATTTCTGAAACAAAACTCATTACTTACTTGTCATGCTAATATAAGCCTTCACCGTGTCACTTAGATTACCAGTGAAAGAAACTCCTAACTACTCTTCTTCCCTTAATTCTTTCCCCTACATTCTGTTTTCTACACAGCTGCCCGAGTGACCTTTTAAGTAGAACTCAGATCCAGTCTCTCCTCTGATCAAACTTCTCAATGACTCTGTCACTGAGTGTGAGATAGCCCAAGTCCTCACAGTGGCCTGTGTGATCCAGCCTGTCATGGTCTCTTTAATGTGCTATGCTACTGCTCTTCTTGCTCACTCTGCCTGAGACACACAGACCCCTTGTTGTTCCTCACATGAACCATGCATGCTGCTCCTGCCTTTGGATTTTTTCACTGGCTGCTCCTCATCCCGAACGCTGTTTCCAGATTCCTGTATGACTGATTCCTGCACCTCCTTCGATTCTTTGCCCAGTTGTCACCTTTCAATGAGATCATCTATTTAAACCCACCTCCCACTCCCCATTACTCTTTACCCCATTTTTTTCCCCATGGAACTTACCACTTTTAAATGTACTACAGAATTTATTTCTGCTGTGTATTGTTTATCTCCCTTCCCTCTAATATGTAAGACTCTATAAGAGAAGAACCTTTTCTCTATTTTACACTGATAATGTCCCAAGTATCTAGAATAGTGCCCCATACTTATTAGGTATGCACTAGAATTTTAGAATGTTCAGTGAATAAATGAATGAATAGGCATTTCTCAGAAGATGAAAGCTGAATGGGCAATAAACATTTGAAAAGATCTTCAACCTTACTAGAAATCAGGTGTATAAAACAACAGTGAGGTACCATTTAACACTTTGCAGATGGCCAAAATTTTTAACATCTGACAATATTGTAGGGAAGTATTAACTCTTATCCAATCTTGGTAGGGGTTTAAACTGGCACAGCACTTTGGAGATTAGGCAGACCTTAGGACTCAGCAGTGCACTTTTGGGAAGGGAGGGGAATGGAATGAGAGAGGAACACAGAGGGAGCTTCAACTGTTATCTGTATTGTAATCTCTATTTCTTTTTAAAAAGTGGATAAAGTAAATATATAAATGTGCCAATATGGAAATATCTTCAAAACATATCAAATGAAGAATACATGTTACAAAAGTGTATTTATAACCTGTTTTGTTTATATTTGACTATCAAAAATCTAGACAGAGTCATAGCTAATATAGAGTAATGTATTATTATAACAAAATATAGTTTTATAGGTTATAACAAAAATATGTTAAAAATAACTTGCTAAAACCATTCTCAAGTGTCTCTCAGATATTTACTACTTCTATGATTAAATAAAAAAAGTAACCGGTTACTTTTAAAAGTGATAAACAGAAAATAACCTTTATATTTTTCTCCTTTATTTATTTATTTATTTATTTTTATTTTAAAATTTACTTATTTATGTATTTTTAATTGAAGAAATTATTTTAAATTTTTTTTCCCTGTCTGCCTTCTCCCTCCCTCCTTTCCCCACCCTCTGGTAACCACTACTCTATTGTCTATGTCCGTGAGTCTCTGTCTCCTTTTTTTATATAGTCAATTTAATGCTGTGGGCTGGTAGCTTTTTTCCCCTGGATGTTATAAATCGATATTTGAGTAGTGAAATAATTTACCACAGCACAAAATTTTCAGTAATGGTAATTTATTATTCAAAGGAAGGAACTAGAGTATAAAGCAATTTGTCAAATTTAAAATACATTTCCCAGTACCATGCACTTTCTATGGGTAACAAAGTTTAAAAAAAAAAAAAAGGGAGAGGGAATAAAAAGCAGCATTTATTAATGAACATCAACTTTAATGTGGTCATTGGCTTTTTTTTTTTTTCTTTCTGATATGTTCTCAGATTGGTGCTCTCCTCTGTCTCAGATTATTTTGCTGCCATGTTTACTAATGATGTCAGGGAAGCAAGACAAGAAGAAATAAAAATGGAAGGTGTAGAACCAAATTCACTATGGTCCCTGATTCAGTATGCATATACAGGTAATAAGTCTAAAAATATTAATTTAAAACCTCTTAGTTGTATGTTGTATTATTAGATTTCAGATTTCTGCTTTTAATAAAGCCTGTCACAGCTAACAGTTAATTCTGCTATTATAATCACTACCCCAGCAATACCTGTTAAAAATCTCTATATTAGAACCTTTAAAATGGTTATCATAATTAAGCTTTGAATATTTTTAAATGTTAATATAATAATAAGATTAATTCTGTAATGTTTTTAAATTACTGTTTAAAATTAGAGTTACATATAATAGATACGTTACTAATGAATCATTCTTTAAAAATCCTGAAAATGAGCTATTAGTTATTTTAGCAAAAATCACAAATAGCTAATAATCTTTTTTTATAGTTACTATTTTTGGGGGGGGGGGAATGTCTTAAATCATCTAGGTCTAGAATACATGTAATGAGTTCTTATTTAGAATTATTACTGTTAACACCAATTAATTTATAAACTAAGGTCAATGTAGTCCCATAGTTAATGGAATTTTTTTTTTTTAATCATTAAGGCCGCCTTGAATTAAAAGAAGATAATATTGAGTGCCTGTTATCTACAGCTTGCCTTCTTCAGCTTTCACAGGTTGTGGAAGCATGCTGTAAGTTTTTAATGAAACAGCTTCACCCATCCAACTGTCTTGGAATTCGTTCTTTTGCTGATGCCCAAGGTTGTACAGATTTGCATAAAGTGGCTCACAATTATACTATGGTATGTATTTTTTGAAAAGCATGAAGGCATGTGCTCTTTACCATGTTCCTTATTGTTGCAGAATTATCTACATGTTGCTGTTTCCCATGACTCTGCCACAGGTCTCAAAGCTCAGGTACACTGTCTGATGTATCATATTTTCACTGAGTTATGAGGTAAAAACACCAAATAATATTTCTCCTGGATATATGAGTCAAGCTTTAAGTTATCACAGTTACTAAGAAGCAGAGCAGTGGCTTAAGATCGTTCTATTCAAGATTTTCAGATATGTGTTTTAAAGTTGGATTTTCTCTCAAACATTTTACTTTGTAGCACATGGGTGAATTTTAAAATTGCCCACATATTCACTGATAGAAGTTGGTGATGGCAATTGTAGTGTACTGGTGCAGTACTAGTACAAAAGATAGGGCGATGAAGGAGAGCTTTTATTAAGGGTAAATCTCATTATGTGTAAGAAGTATTTTTAGCAATATGGAAAGATGTTCTTATTAATTATAACAAGTTACGTGCTCAACATTAGTCACAGGGGGTTCTGATTTGGAAGCCCGGAAGATAATGGATACAGATTGATCTAGACCAGCAAGAAAATAAGGGCATGTTAAGGGCATATTGTTAGGCCCCTCTTTCATGGCCTTAATTATAGAGGGATTTGGGAGAGAGAAGGAATGTGGATTGTTAAAGAATGACCATCGTTCCATACTTGGGTCTTCACACCTGGGCAATGATTGAAGGAAGGCCGTTGTTTAAATGCTTCATTTAGGGCAATAGAGTTTCTTAGGAAAAGAATGTGAACATTCATATATACATATCAATTATCCACATCACTAATTTTATTAACCTTTAGGAGACATTTTTGTTAACCCTCCTGTCCATCCCCCATCCTTCCACCAAAATTTTTTATCAGTGAAGGGTTGATAGTATTTTAGGAATCTCTCACTAGAGAAACAGAGATCTGAAAAAATTATAATAATGGATATTTACAACTGTTAGGAAGATTAATTCTACCTACTTCATAAGCTTAATGTGAGGATTAAATGAGTTAATAGAAGTTTAACACTTAAAGCAGTAATTGACACATAGAATACCCAGTCCATAAATGATATCATCATTGTCACCATCATTGTATAGATTTACTCTCTTCAACACAGTTAGGGATTTATGTGCGTGAACAAAAGCACTCATACAAAAGCACAATCTTTATGATTCGTTTTCTCCCTGTGGTATAATTACTTTACAGAAATGTTCTTGTTTATGGATGGCCAAAGTGCTTCAAATGAAAAAATAGAGATTGTGCAACAGAACAATACTATATAGACCTAGCATAGTATTAGGTTAACATCTTTTAAATTAAGTCCTTTGAAAGACTGTTCCCCCTCCGTTTTGATCCTTCCTTGTAGAATTCTCATTTTAACCATTATAGCACAGGTTCTGATACTTTTTAGAATAACGTGACTATGAATAAAATAAAGCTAGATTTTTTTTACCTTTATAGTCAGTTCATAATTTAAATAATATCTCTTTTCTAGGAAGGAGTTTTATTCACATGAAAACATTCGTATGCATTTAGATCTCCAGTTGTTTACAGTAGAGGCACAATTGCTGCTTTTTAAAGGCTTAGACATAAATTAAATGTTTTTAAAGCTCTTTTCATAGCCAATTAGTTGTGGTAGTTTTTTTTTTTTTTTCTCAAGCCATTATTTGACATTATTCAGTTGCAGCAGAGACATGAAATTGAATTCTAATAACAATAAGTAATTTAGAGGCAGATTGTGTGATTTGAATTGCTATGGGAACTGAATGAAAATGTATAACAAAATTCAATCTTCAGTTTAAATAAATCCTCCAGTAATTCTATTTGCTTAAAAACTGTTCCAAAGGGGGAAGGGGCATAATGTTAGCAAGTGTTTGGCAGCATGATAGATGTTTGTATCATAAAATAGACTCAAAATGTGCAGTAAGCATAGTGCCATACTTGGTAAATGGTGCACATACTTGGGATGTTCACTGATCCTGCATGAATACAAGTAGGAAAGGATGAGGAGTTCCTTCTTGTAATCCTGAAATCTGGAAACTTTTGTTCCTGTTCTGACCACCTCTGAACTTGACCTGGAGCAAGTCATTTAACCTCTACAAAAAAATCTAAGACTGGTTATGTCATTACAAACATTTAATGTCAGTATGGATTTATATAATAAATATAAACATTTAATTTAAAAATTTTAAATTTTGTTTCTCGATCTAGAAAACCTATAAAAATATTGAATTCTGCTAAAATATCTGCTTCAAAACCTGATGCTTTTGAAAGGCACTTGGAATTTAACCTTAAGTTCAGTAGTATTTCTATAAGTTGATGAAAAGCTTGATTTTCATTAAATATGAATTATACTAGAATGGAATGGGCATTATTCTGAAATAGGTATATCAACAAATAAACATCAAAATGAATATTTACATAATAGTCCTTTTCTCATTGATGAAATGCAGTTAATATATTGTGAAAGTATTGCAGTAGTTACATTGCTGTTATAGAAATGTTGATGACTGTACTATACTCTATACCTTTGAGCAGTTAGAAATGTGTATTTGATTTCTTTAGTCTTAGATAAACATCTTTCCAAGTATCAGTATGATCTTTGTCCTTGAAATTTTTAATGCCTACTTAATAGTCCACTGAGTTACAATGCCCTCTAGCTGGATATTTCCTATTTTTTACTATTACAAATAGTAATACAGATAAGCATCATTAGAGAAGCTTTATTTTCCTCTTGTAAGTTATGTATGAAGGATGAAACTACTAGTGGGATAACTGGGTTGAGAGCTTCAACATTTTTATAGCTTTTGCTGTATGTTACCAAGTCATTTTATAATGTCAGTATATAATGGAGTGGAACAGTTTGCTTGAAACCACCTCAGCATTGAAATTTTATTAAAATATATTTCTGAAAATGATAATAAATCATTTAAAATAGATTCATTTTGGCATCTTGAACAAATCATGATGAATTGAAGCAATTGAATTTAGTTAATTATTCATGTATGGTTTTCCTCTTAAAAATTTCTACAGAAAGAAATGTCAACTCGAGATATATTTTAGATTAATACCTAACTTGGGTTACTACAGGCTATATGGAAAATATAACTCTCATTTAAATATAGAAGATAGTTCCTGAGAGTCCTTATTCTAGCTCTAATTTAAACAGGCTTAGCTATTTTACTAAAACTGTATATGCGGAAACAGTCACAACACATTAGGAAGTATAAGAAAAACATTAAAGGACAATATTCTAGCATTTGCATTTATATTATAACTATAAACAACCCAAGCATTAAGATTGGTGATCTTGTATACCAGAGAGTACATTTCCCTTCTCTTCAGATTGTTTAGCATAATAGCTTCGTAAAGGTCATTTTCTCACACCTAAGGGCATTTCCATCTGCCATTTCCATCTGCCATTTCCATCTCCCATTAGGCCTGATTCTAGCGAGTGGCCGAAACTGAGTCATCATCAGTCTAAGGTCCTGGAGTCCCAGCGCATTCTAGGTCAATGCTTTTACTTTGGCTTTTTTTCCTAGGAGACCTTGTACACAAATCAGATTAGAGGAGGTTAAAGTTTTCAAAACAGACCTAAAATCCTGGGTGGTCTTATAAATAACATTAAAACACTTTTTAAAGGCCCATTTGGTCTTAGGATAGTTGTAAGGATATATACTCTTCCTGGGCAGTCTGAGAAGACTTCTGTGGTCCAGAATGGTCTTGGGAAATCTGACCAGCATGTAGACCATTTTTGAGTAAGAGAAATAACTTCACAGCTCACCCAGGTATTTGGCTTCACTTTTGGCCAAAATCTATGGAAACTACAAATCTAAACTAACTTTCAGTGTTAGAATATCATACATCTCAGTGTCTAATTCATTTTTTCTATCTTCCTTTGAAAGACCTGCCAAAACTATTCCCTAACTTGAGCAAAACAATACCTAAAAGTCACAGGTCCATTTTTAAAATGTAATAATCAATATACCACTTTCATTCTACTTACATAGAAATAAAAAGTGTAACAGCGTGATTGTTGTTTAAATGTTATTTTCTACTGTATTTCTTTCCTAAGACCAGTACTACGTTGTAAGGCAGGTCTGAAGTATAAACTGTGTTTTGGCAGCTAATTAAAAAATTTTTAGGTTTTTTTTTTTAATAAACTGTGATAGATAGAAGGAACAGTATTGTTTATATGATATATTTTTTTTTCTCTAGGAACATTTCATGGAAGTAATTCGAAACCAGGAATTTGTGTTATTACCAGCCAGTGAAATTGCAAAGCTCCTGGCCAGCGACGACATGAACATCCCTAACGAGGAGACAGTATTGAACGCACTCCTTACTTGGGTCCGTCACGATTTAGAGCAGAGACGGAAAGACCTCAGTAGACTTTTGGCTTATATTAGGCTACCTCTTCTTGCGCCACAGGTGAACTATTTTTGATTGTTTAAAATCAATGTCATAATTTCAACAAAGTTTGAGTATTCACTTAATGCTGATTATATTAATATGTACTTGCCTATAGGTTTTTTCCTTTGCTATTCTAGCCCATAAGGTTATATTTTACATAGAGATTCCTATGAAATGTTTAGGTGAAAAGATAGTGAACTAAAAAATTCTTATGTTTTCAATCCAGAAGGTCTGGCTACCTAAATTACATCAATTAAGTAACATTGTTGCTTTGGAGTTAGTAATTTTATTTGACTCAGCCACGAACTTATCCTAGCAACTGAAGAGTTTAGAACTGCTAATAAAAGGAACACTGGACTCTAGGAACCAGAAATTTCAGATTAGTTTGTTTGCCACCCGTTTATGAAGTATCCACGAAATGCTAGATTCAGGTAATATGTAAATTAATGAGACATGGTAATAGTTCCAGCTCTGATATTTTAAAACTCTTTGACTTGGCATATTCACACACTTTAGTTTCTTTACCTGTCAAGTGGAGGTAACATCCTCTCTGACCACCTCACAGTATTATTCTGAGGATCAGAAAAGTGCTCTGTGAAATAAAATATACTATAAATAATAATGGTATGATTATTATTTTTGATATAATCTAGTTGATATATTCAAGGCAGTAAGTCATATTTACATGCAGAGTTTCCCCTTTTTACAGTTTTGACTGGAATATACAAAAATTTCCTCTGAATACTTTGCTGTTCATTTTGAGGCCTTGAATAGAGAAAGAGTCCTTGAAAATAGAGAAAGAATGAGCTGTTACTGCTCAAGGTCAGACATTTTTGTTGTTTAAAGGCCTATAAATTTTTCTTATTTATATTTATATTGATTATTTTCAAGATGTTTTGAGCAAAAGTTACTGTTTGCTCTCTCCCTTACAGAGGCAAAAATCAGTGCTGATGCTTTATAAAAAAGATCTCCCTCTTCAGAGGTAGAATGTGGTATAAATTCATAGGAATGAAACTGCACGAATTGGTGACAATTCAGGAAAAATGACATCATAAAACATTTCTCTTAAAATCAAGTTTAAAGAAGAGAGTTATATTTTTATTGATATTAGTAGAATTTTTTTCTTATCTTTTCTAGATGAAAATCTAAAATCTGAAAATTCCTAGAAGACTTAAAAATAATTTGTGCAATTAAGTAATTTGACAATTTACTTCAATTGTACAGTTTCAAGTATTTATGTACTATATTTGCATGACTCTCAGATATCTTTAAATTTTCTGTTAACCAGGATACTGCTGATAAATCCTAGCCATAACAGCTTAGATTTGAAAGTCACTCTGGAGATCATTTAGTCTAACACCTGTCATACAAATGAACTCTAACATAGATCCTCAGACTTACATCTTAATTTGGCTCTTTTGCCTTTAGCATGCTGTCCTAGGTTTCCAGATGCCACAAACGTTTTCACAGTGACTTTTGTTAGAAACTCTTCCTCCTCTTTCATTATCAAAATATAAACATATTCTCAATATTATTGGTCATTAAAGAAATACAAAGTAAAACTGCATTTTCCACCTACTCGAATAGCTAAAATAAAAGAAGATAGTAACAGTGGTTGGTGCGAATGGAAAGGAACAAGAACCAAGTACATTGCTGGTGGGAATATAAAGCTGCAGCCACCTTGGAAAACAATTTGGTAGTTTCTTAAAAAGTTAACATAAACTTACTACATGACCCAGCTGTTCTACTCCCAAGGGAAGTGAAAACATCTATTTCTCCATGAAGACTTGCATACAAATATTCTTAGCAGCTTTAGTCATAATGGCCAAAAGTTGGAAACAACCTAAGTGTCCATCAGCTGGTGATCAGATAGACAAAATGTGGTGTATCCACACATGGACTATTATTCAATGCAAAAAAGAAGTGAGGTACTGATACATGCTACACAGATGGATGAACCTCAAAACGTGCTAAATGAAAAAGCAATACACAAGAAACCATATATAATTCTATGTATATGAAACATCTAAAAAAGGCAAATCTATAGAGACAGATTGGCACTTGAGAGAGGAGATGGGAACAGAGATTAACAGTAAACAGGCATGATCTAATTGGGATGATGAAAATGTTCCAAAACTGTTTTATGGTAATGGTTGTACAGCTTGGTAAATTTACTAAAAATCATTGAATTATATACTTGAAATGATGAATTATGTGATGTGTAAAGTATACCTTATATTGTCAAATGCAATCTTGCAATGTATCAAAAGGATAAACATTGTGACCAGGAACGTCTTTTTCCAGGAATGAAAGAATGGTTGAGAATCAGGAAATCGGTCAAAGTAATTATTAATTATATCAGTAACTTAAAAGAGAAAAAGTCATATGATCATAACAATAGATGTGTAAAAAGTATTTGGAAAAAATTTAGCAATCATTTTTAATTTTAAAACTCAAGTGAAATAGGTAGAGAAGAAAACAACCTAAATATAATAAAGATGGATTACTAAATGGTACAGCAACTATTTATCTTAAATAATGAAACACTAAAACCATAGTAATTCAAACTAGAAACAGGAATACTCCCTATCACTCTAATTTTTTCACATTGCTTTGAAGGTTTAGCAATTGCAATAATAAAATAAAAATGAAATAATTAGCATACACATTAGAAAAAAGATGTCAACTATCCTTATTTGGTGATGATTATTATATGATTGATAGCTAGAGTCTTATAAGGGTTGTGGTAAAATAGTAGGTTATAATACAAGTATACAATAATCAATAGATTTATCTCTCTTCTAGCAAAAAAATGCAAAATGGAAATTTAAAAATCCATTTCCAATAGCAATAAAAATAATAATATATGTAGGAATATATTTAATAAAAGAAAGTCGTAAGACCTATATGAAGAAAACTGTACAACAAATGGGAAGGCTTCCTAACAGAAATTTAATATCTTAAAAATATAAATTCTCCCAAAATTAATAAACAATGCTCTTCCTATTAGAATTACAACAGGATCAAAGTGGTGAAGGGGAATTTATCTTAAGTTTATATGGAAAGTAAAGACTCAAAAACAGCCAAGAAAACTATGAAAATGAACAGTGAGGGTAGATTTATATCAGATAATCCAAAATGTTATAAAAACACTGTAAAAATTATGGTATTAGAGTAGGAATAGACAAGTAAGATCAATGGAACAAATAAAGAATCGAAAAATAGATCTCATATATCCTGAGATCTATTTATGAGAATGTAATATATGACCAAGGTTCAATTCAATTAGAAATGAAGGATATTATTTAATAAACGGTGCTCGTACAGAATTGGCTATCCATCTGGAAGAAAATAAAAAATATTCTTCAACTCTTTAAAAATTAATTTCACATAAATCAATATCCTAAATGAAAAAACATAAAGCAATAAAGGGGTAGTAAGGATCGGGATGGAGAACCAAGGAAAAGAAATTTATTTTTTAAAAGGATGTTACCATTTTATGCATTTATATAAAACTACATGAGTAAAAAAATAGGATTCAGTGAAGCACAAGGGATTTTAATTCTTTTAGAATAATTGCTGGTTAGTTTTTTGCCCCTTAAGAAACAGGTAATTGTTGTTTCTGCTGCTGTTTTAGCAGTGTAATTAAGAGAAGATAGTGTAATTAATCGATTTATAATTATTACTCAGTTAAATTATTTATAATTAAGAAGATAAAATGATTTGTTTTATAAAATCTGGAAAATATAGAAAAGTAGTAAAAAAGATTATTAAAAAGGTATCAAGATTCCCCACCACCCAGAGATAAAGCACTATTAAGATTTAGATTATACCACTTATCCTTCACAATTTTTATTTTTTAATGAAATTTAAAATGTAAATCTCGTTAATGTTGCACATTTGACTTAAAAATAGGTGTCCAGACTTAGATTTTTTTTTTAAATGAGATCATTTCCATTTATGAACTATATAGTGTATTCTCTTACCCTTACTATTTTCTTGGTCATTCAGTATACATACTCACCTTTTTTTTCCCCAGTTCCTTGCAGACATGGAAAATAATGCACTTTTTCGGGATGATATAGAATGTCAGAAACTCATTATGGAAGCAATGAAGTATCATTTATTACCAGAGAGACGACCCATGTTACAAAGTCCTCGGACAAAGCCTAGGAAGTCAACTGTTGGTACATTATTTGCTGTTGGAGGAATGGATTCAACAAAAGGTATTAAAAAATATTTAATAATATTTTGGGGGAACAGAAAAAATGAATTTTTTCTTTTGACGCCTATAGCACCTGGTATTCCTAGGTAGTCTCCCATTCAAGTTCTCACCAGGCCCGACCCTGCTTAGCTTCCGAGATCAGACGAGATTGAGCACATTAAGGGTGGCATGGCTGTAGACAAAGAAATGAATTTTAATTAGTAATAAGTATGGACAAATAGCTCTTTGGAGAAATGGCTAATTCTAGCACTAGGGTAGAAAAAGTACAAGATAAGTACATCTCGTAGAACCAGAAAGTAAGGAAGTGTGCAAAGAATGATTGAGACAGGTTAAGGAATACAGTTTGTAGGGGTAACCAATATCCAAATCTGGGATAATTTCAGCATCAACATAATTGATAGCGAAAGATTATGACCTATTAAATCAGGTATTCATGAGTCCACACTGGTTCAAATAAAGAAGGGAGAAGCAAAGTTCTTCCTTAAAGTAGAATGAATTCCAACTAATAAATGAAGCAAAGATGAGATTAGAAAAAACACTGTTTGGCAGTCATTATCATGATAACCGATTCAGTAAAGAATCATCAATGGATGCTGAGACTAGTGAGTTAAAGTTTCAGAACAGGATATTTAATCTCAAAGCATCTCCCTCCTTGCTTATTAGTTACAAAGGGTAAAATAGTATCTTTACAGTGGAAAAAATTTGGAACACATCACAGTAACCAAATAATCAAAGATCACTGCCAGTAATACTAACTGGCAGCATGTGCATTTTATAAGGTGTACTGAGAGGAACTCAGCTGCTCACTTGTGGTATTCTGGCAAAAAGTGTGTAATCTGACCTTAATCATAAGGAAAAGACAAACAAATCCAAATTGAGAGACATTCTACAAAATAATTTGTAGTATTCCAAAATGTCAAGAAATATAGAAAAGATTTAGAAATTGTTTCAGATTACAAGAGATTGAGACATAAAAGCTATTATAATGCATCATCTTGGATTTTCTTTTGCTATAAGGACATAATTGGGACAAATAAAAAAATACAAATGAGGTCTGTAGATTAGATAATAGCATAGTATAAATGTCAATTTTCAGATTTTGATGATTGTGGTTTTATTAGAGAATTTCTTGTTTTGAGGAAGATACACTGAAGTAATAGGGGTACAGGGCATCATCAACTTAAACAGTTCAGAAAAAAGAACTCACACATACATATACAGAAAGAAAATGTAATAAAATATAAACATTTGGGAAATCTGGGTCAAGGATATCTGGCAGTTCTTTATACCATTCTTGTCACAGTTGTTACTAACAGTAACAATGATAGCAACAAACAGCATATATACTGCCTACCCAGTGCCAGGGATTGTGCTAGAAGCTTTCTGTGTATTATCCTCAGTATACATTGATCTCTTCTTCCCCTGAATTCTTAGTACTAAGTCTGCAATCCCCTGATAATACCTCTCTGACTTTGGCCACCTCTCTGATCTAGGCTCATTCTACTTCTCCCCTCCCTCCTTGCGTTCCAATTGCATGGCCTCCGTGTTCATCCAGTGTGTCAAACATCCCACCTCAAGGATTTGCATTAGCTGTTCCCTGTCACTAGGATGCTCTGTGCCTTGATATTGGAATGCTTAGTTGAAGTTATTCATTCATATCTCTCGAATGTCAATTAACCAAAGAAGATTTTTATGACCATTCAGCAGCAATCTCTTGCCCATCACTTTCTAACCTTTTGTTTACCACGTTTTATCTTTTTGCTCTGCTTCATGTTTCTTTGTAGCACCTGATATGTTTGTTTATGGTCTGTCTACCTCTTCCCCCCAAGTAAGCTCCAAAACAGTAAGGATTTTGTTTTGTTTACTAATATAGTCCCAGAGCTTAGAACAGTGCCTTGCACATAAAAACCATCAATAAGCATTTGTCAAATGAATGAAGATTGCTCTCTGCCGTCTCTTGAATTACTTGTATGACTAAAGCACTCAATGCCATAATCATGTCTAAAGATTTCTCTTCTATGTGGTATCTCTAAGGAATATTTAAAAAATGAGCTCTAATCGAAAGTCTTGTTATTTGACTTTTAGGTTCATGGAAACAAAGATATAAAGATAAAGATATTATACTATATAGCATATAACATAGGGCTATGTATTTATAGATGCTTAAGTTCTAAGTATAGGCTGTATTAAATGGTATGAAAAATGAAGTAAGATAACTGACAGAGCTATAGTATAAATATTTGAAAAAGTTTGGAGATCTCCACAGTCCAGATAACAGATCTGCAAATATTTATTAAGTATCTACTATGTACCTAGAACTGGCGCTTGGTTTTATAGCCATTACTAGTGCTGCTTCTTCCCCTCTGTCTTCTTCTCCCTTTTTCAAGGCTTTAACTGTTATCTTTGTGTTAATTATACTCTCTCATTTTGATTTTATTCTTATATTTCCAGCTTGTATACAATATCCTATTTGATGTTCAACTTTCACCTCAAACTTCATGTGTTCAAATTTTCTCTGACCATGTCTCCCAGACTTAAGAACTTGGACTCGTAATTCATTATTCTTCAAAGGACACCAGCTCTGGCTTATTTAAGCAGATAAAGAATTTATTAGAAGGCTTTTGAGAAAGAGGCAGAAACTACATCCACTGTCCCTGCTTCTTTATAATTCCTGCTTTCGATTTTAAATCCTAGGTGTATGCATCCATTTGATTATCCTTAAGGTCAGTCCTGAGCCCTAAATTTCCAAGGAGAAAGAATGAATATCTATCTTTCCAGCTTTCTAGAAGATAGGTTACTGTCTGTCATCAAGACTCATACATACAGTGAAAATTCCCCAAGCGTGGAAAGGAACTCAGATACTAAGTACTCAAAATAAATAATATTTCTCTCTCTCTCCCTCTCTTCCCTCCTCTCTCTCACTCTCTCTCCCCCTCCCTTCCTTACCTCTCTACACCACTCTCTCCTCCCCACCCCCCGCAAACCTTAAATTATGACAGTCTCAGATGGATCTTATTCTTCCAAATTTCTATTGCTATTTTTCTAATTCCAGTTAGCCTTCTATCAACCTACATATTTTGATCACGTTAATTTAGTAGGAATAGCATTCATTGTGTTAATGTGTACCAGGCATTATGCTAAGCATTTGGCCTATATTATTTCATCTTCATAGCAACTCTCAGAGCTGAACATTCTTGCCATCTTTTATAGATGAGGATACCAAGACTTAGAGAAACTAAGTAACTTTCCCAGGATCACACAGCTAGTTAGTGATGGAGTGAGAATTCAGTCATTTTGACTCTGGAGGCTATACTCTCTGCTTTGTTAACTTTTCTATTAATACGCCATTACTCTCCCCAAAAATGCCAGCAGTCTTTATTTCTTAGCACATAAGATGTGAATTTATCTTTCTAGATTTAAGACTTTCTGTAATCTGGCTCTTGTGGCTCTGACCTTCTATTCTATTCAAGCTTTCTTCCTGGGCCTAACTTATCTTATTCCCAATGTCTTTATAATGAAGAGCAATTCATTTTAGTTGGATGGTATCTTGATCATGTGGTTCTTGGTCCCATCATATATCTGTTTGGTATAGAGCTCAACAATAACCTGGGAGTGGTTCTAAACAGCCACTAATAAAAGGTTAGCATATATTTGTACTTACTATTTTTAAAGGTTAATCCTTCAGTATAAATTAGGAAAGTTCTAAGTTTTTACATAAAGTTTTGCAATTGTTAGAATTTGGTTATTTCTCAAGTTTTTACATAAAGTTTTGCAATTGTTAGAATTTTGTTATTTCTCTGTATGTGTGTGTGTGTATATATACATATATATATATGATACGATGTATGTGTGTGTGTGTATATATATACATATATATATGATACATGTTTCAGACTGTTTAAGATTTTATGTAAAAATTAAGTTCGATATTAGCAAAATAATTTTTAGTTACCAATTTATAAGACTGTGATACTGCTTAGTGAACTAGATGTAAGAGAAATAACTTAAAATTCAAAATAAATAAAATGTTCTTAAATTCATTAGAAAGGAAAGGATTAGTATTGCCTTTTTATTTAATGAAGAAATTCTTAAGATTGAATTTAAAGTGATGAGTCAAGTATACTGTTACATAAAATAATCTGAGTGTGTGGGTAAAATCTCATTATAGTTTAAAATTATAGAGAAGGATTATTCAAATCCAAACATATTTTTGAACAGCTACTGACAGCAAATACGTCTATTATATGGTGCTGTGAAAATACAGAGATGGAAAAAGACTTGGTATTTATTGCAAATAACTCAAAAATTTTGTAGGGTGAAAAAAATAAAAACAATAATGAGAAAATATAATATTCTCTCTATACATAACAAAACTATTTCTAAATTTTAGATTATCAATAGTATCAGTGCTCTGATAACTAATTGTCACAAATACTTTAAAATAAATGTTTGTCCTTATTGTAATTCTATAAGAATAGCACTGTTTGCACGTTTTATTAGAAGCTTAGAAGAGAGAAGTAAAGTAGATGCGAATCAAACTCTTCATAACTGGGGGGATGAGGATGGGTTTTCTTAACTCCACTGGTCTCACTTCAAAAAGAGAACAAGAGTTCTTTGAATCTCCTATTTCTTAAAAACATGTAGACACCATCAGGCAGCTCTTTCCTAAACTTCCCACACTCATAGTTCCTAAAGCACATCATCCACACTTAGACTCTTGTCCTCTCTGGATACAATAGAATATGTATCTCTTCCCTCCTCCTGTGAAAGCCTGCCCCTCACCTGTGCCCTCAAACCGCCCTTTGCTGCTTCTCAGGAACTTCACACTATTAATTAAGATCCCTTCATCTCCTGTATTTTCAGCTTCTTTCCTTACAACTAAATCTTCCCATTAGCATTTAAACAAACTCAGGTTTTTCCAATTTTAAAAGCAAAACAAGACAAAATCTCCCTCAACCCACATTGAAATTCCTGTCTTTCCCTTGTATAGCCACACTTCTCAAAAGAATTATCTGTGCTCACTGTCTCCAATTCCTCACCTCCCAACCATGTCTCAGCCACTCAGACAATGGACTCTCAAAGTCACCAGTGACTTCCATGTAGTTAAATCCAGTAATACTTTTTAGTCTTCGTCTTACTCGACCCTCTCAGTAGCATTTAATACTGTTATTAGTCCTACTTGCTATAAACTTTTTTTCCTTTGGCTTCTGTGACACTGAATCACCCTGTTTTTCTTCACACTCTGGCTATCGTTTCTCAGCCTTCTCTGACAGATAATCCTTATTCACTTGATCTTTTGATACCAGAGCCTGGTGTATGCTCTGGAAAATATTGTCAGACTATGTCAGAGATTAAGCAGGGGCCAGATAATTTAAGGGCTTATTGAAATATAATAAAATAATTGTTATCAATGCTAATAAAATTATACTCGTATATGTGTAATTTCCTAAAATACTCAGTCATGGTGAAATTTTTATTTACATAACTTCTATATATTACTATTAAGGAGCAACAAGCATTGAAAAGTATGATCTCCGTACAAATATGTGGACTCCTGTGGCAAATATGAATGGGAGGAGGCTGCAGTTCGGTGTTGCAGTGTTAGATGACAAACTGTATGTGGTTGGAGGACGAGATGGACTGAAGACTTTGAATACTGTAGAATGCTACAATCCCAAAACAAAAACTTGGAGTGTGATGCCTCCTATGTCCACGCATAGGCATGGCCTTGGTGAGTATGACTGCAGATTGTTCATAATATCATATATTAGACTTTGGCATCACTTTTACATTCTGTGCCAGGCAGAAGACCACTGTGGCAGCTGCTGAGCCAGCAGCAGTCACCAAGCATTTCTTCACATGCTCTCTGGTATCAGAGACAGTGAGCATATACATAAATGTATGTATGCAGCTAGCACAAGTGAAAACATGAGTATTTTAGGGCAGTAGGGTGGACTGATAAGCCGCCTTTTGACATGCATGTTCTGACAATTAGTGTTTCTAACCTAATTAAAATGCTTATTAAATATCCTTAGCATTATTGTGTTTCATCTGTATCCCACAGTTTTTAATCAGAAATGAGTAAAACTCAGAAAACTTTGGAGGTGGCACAGGGAATGTAATGATAGAGACTTTTCATTTTTGCATTCAATAATTCACTTAGCAGACGTCGATTTACATGTGCCATGCTCTGCTCTGTAGATACGAAAAAAATGTGGAAGACACTATATCTGTACCCTCGGGGAACTGATGGCTCACTCTGAGGTGATAGAAGAGAATTTAGCAATCTTGTATCAGATGATCTCTCTTTTCTTACAGGAGAAAGAACAGGCAGAATAGAATGTTCGAAGAGAGTGAGGAGATGGAAATTAAAATAAAAATTAGATGGGGCTTGAAATATAAGTACATCATCCAGCTTTTGCTGCATAATGAACCTTTCTAAAACTTAGAGGCTTAAAACAACCATTTATTTAGCTTATTCATCTATGAGTCAGGCTATTCTAGCCTGGGCTCTCTTTGATGACTTCTGCTGTGTTTTCTCATGATTCTCTGGTAGGCTAGCAGGTTGGCTGGTTTATCTAGGATTGCCTCACTCACGTGTGTAATGGTGGGCAGATTTTTGGCCTGGGGAACTGGGCCAATGCCTTTAATCTATTCAGCAGGCTCACCCAGGCTTCTTCATATGGTGGCGGTCACAAGTTTTCAAAAGCAGCAAGAGATGGCAAGCCCCAGTGCACACTTTTCAAGCTTCTGCTTGCATAATGTTTGCTAACGTCCTACTGGCCAAAACCAGTCACATGGGCAAGCCCTACTTCAAAGAGTAGAGAAATAGATTCCTCCTTTTGGTTGGAATTGCTGCACAGTCACATTGCAAATAGACATGCATTCAGGGATAGAAAGAATTTGTGGCCATATTATCAGTTTATCACAGTTTGGAAAGGGTTTAAAGATAGTTGCAATGAAGAATTTGATAGGTTATCATAAAAGATGAAGTATAAGATGTGTGAGTAGCAGTGAAAGCATAGTTGAGTTGAGGTAGCACAGCTTTATACTATACTCAATTTATTGATACTGAGTACCAGAGTAGAGGCTACCCCAAAAAGACAATGAAAATTATCTAGTCATGAAAATTGGTATGGTAGCGAGTAGAGCAAAAGATCAAAGAGACAAAGGATTCTACTAGTTGCAATTAGGTTTCTGTGAAAGGTGATCTTAAGTTTCAGGTTTGGTAGAGGTAAAATCAGAGGGTTAGAGCTAAGGTACAGAGAGAGGAGCTTAAAATTAGCTATATGAATTTTAAGAACTCTGTACAATATTACTCTCAAGTTCATAAAATCACCTATTACATAGACACAGAATGGGAAAGTATATCTTAAAAGCAACATGAAAGAGACTTAAAATTTGGGTTGACCATAAAATTCAGGGTCAATAGTATGATTCACCTGCAAATTTTCCCCTACCATTGGAGAAAAGAAACTTAATTCTAACTTAGCATTAAATTCTTACAGATTTAGTATACAGAATGAGACTGTCCGTGGTCCAGCCATGTTTTGTGTGGATTAGATTGTGCATGAACACTATCATTAGTTTTAGATACCCTACAAAAGACTGTTGAACAGCAGCACGTTCAAAAGAGAATGATCATATAGCTCAAAATGTCTTTAAGCTTTTATTTCAAATTTTTGTATCATTCAAAAGTCTATTCTTACTAATTCATCTTATAATAAATAATGTTTTAAACTTGAATTTATAAATCTTCACGTGAGAAACTTTATCTCTTTATATGTGGGAATTATCTGAAGACTTCATTAGAAAAAGTAATTCTGCTGCTAAAATTTCTCTTGTTTAAGGAGTTAGACTAGATGGACCCATTATTTTTGTTTCCAACCCCTCGATTACTCTCTCACACAAACACGGACACACAATTAGATATATAGTGTCTATAATTGGAGTGTGTGTGTGTGTGTGTGTGTGTGTGTGTGTGTGTGTGTGTGTGTCTACAATAGCCAATACTGGTAGAGCACAAGTGAGTGGAAGGGTATGTTGATTTGGGTCATATATGAATGATGAATATTTATAGTTCATCTGGCTATGATTTCTCAAAATATATTTGTATCACAAAATTTGTATTTTGGACCTCAGGTGTTCCATATATATATCTCACCTGACTATGATCATTTTACATGTCCTCTCAAAAACTTCTACTGGCTCTCCATCTCATTTAGAATAAAATCTAAAGTCCTTATAATAGCCCAGCCACTCTGCATGATCTGACGCCACACTCTCCCTTACCTCCTACACATCCCCCTCACCCTGCCAGCCAAACTGGCCTCCCTGCCGTGTGGCAGACACACTAGGCATGCCTCGGGGCCTTTGTGTGCTCTGTCCCCTCTACCTCACCTTCTCTTCTCCCAGGTATCTCCATATCTGGTTTCCTAACTTCATTCACATTTTTGTTCAAATGTTACTTTGTCCGAGAGTTCTCCCTTGACCCTTTCTACCATTTTAGTCAGTTCTCTTTTTCTTTTTAGCACTTATCAATACCTGAAATTTATTTTGTTTATGTTTCCTGACTGAAATATTAGGTCCATGAGGGCACAGCCCTCATCTGCTGTTCTAGTAAGTGCCTGGCACTATAGTAAAATCTCGTGAATTTGAATTAATGGGGGAAAGGAATAAAAATGCTTTCTGAAATATATCTGAAATCCATATTACTGAAAAATGTTTAAAATGTGGAGTATGTGCATCCAGTGTCATTTTTAACAACTTGCCACTCTTGGGCCTCAAAATACTATCTCTCAAACTTTTAAGGTCAGAGCTATAGTGCTTTTTCTCCCCCTCACTCACCAACCTATCTACCAAGAAAAGCCGTGAGGAAGCCAGAAATCTATATCACAAATTTTTGCTTAATTATATTTGCATGTTTAAGGTTCATTGTAGTTCTATTTCAAGTAAAACGTGGTTGTAAAGTCTTTCTTCCCTGTCTCCTCGTAGGTGTGGCTGTATTGGAAGGCCCCCTGTATGCAGTTGGTGGGCATGATGGCTGGAGCTATCTGAATACAGTGGAGAGATGGGACCCTCAGGCTCGCCAGTGGAATTTCGTGGCCACTATGTCCACCCCCAGGAGCACAGTAGGTGTGGCAGTACTAAGTGGAAAGTAAGAAAATATTTAAAGTTCCATTTAAAACACAATAACGTAAATTTATTGAGCTATATCATGTGCAACGTTAAAATATACATAAGTAAATCACAAGAGAAATGCTTTAAGAGTGGTGTAAACAAACTTTTAAAAGTCTTTTTAAATGATAGTTCTAAACATAAATAGCCGAACAATAAGTTAGGCTTTTACTCTAACACGCAGATGTTATAAATTTTTAGTTATTTTGAGTGAAGAAATTTTATATAAAGGTTCAATGTAGTAAAAATCTGGTGGTTCATATGGCCTTAAAAGTAGATGGTCTTTTAAAGATAGTATAGTCTCTCTCAGGTTTCCCTAAATAATTCCCTTCATGTCTTTTACTGATTTACCTTTACTTTTCTTTCTTATCCTAGTAAGCTGCTGAAAACTAGAATGGATTTAGAAAGAGGTGCTCTTTTGCCTCATGTTTGCACTAAATAGAATAAATAGAATAGAATAGATTTGAATGGAGCCATCACCAATAAGCTCTTGGTAACTCAGAGACTAAATATCGTTTTCAAGCCTTTCTTCCATAAAATGAAGCCCTATGTGGTTTTAAATAAAAGTTATTTGTTATATACCTTTACTCACTCGAAGGGCTTAATTTACATCATTTCCAGAAAAAGGAAGGAATCAAGATTAAAGTACAGACACTTAAAATTATTCGTAGAATTGTGTTGTTGATTATTAACAGAAAAATGAGGAAATATTGGTCATATTTTATGACCTGAGGTCTTATTTCCTCAAGACCTGTTAGTTACATCCTATCTTTTTATTTTTTAGCACTATTCCAAGTGATAAAATAGAGAAATAGTAGCTCATTTTTTAAATGTATCTGATCTCAGTACCCCTCCCCTCATTTGTTTTAGTTAAAGAAATAACTTCAAAACTCATCACTACATATCTTTCCTAATTCCTTGGTAGAAGAGTCAGCCACCAAAGAATCTAGTAAATGAGAAAAAAGAAAAAAAATTCTAAATAGTATCTACTCAGTTTTGACCCTTTGGTTTATACTTTTGAGATTCATGCATTGAACTAATTCTTGTTCAGTGGCATATTTCTTAGCCCTTATATCTGACTAAAAATACTTATTTCTAAAAGAGGACAAAAGAATAACTGCCTTCTCTAAAACCCAATTTCCAGACCTTAAATAGCTGGGACATGTAGGCATAAAAATTTACTTTCTTACCCTCTTATGAGAAATATTTCATTCTTGAACCCACCTGAAGTACAATTTATTGAATATAATTCTGAGACAACCTAAGAATTGTATCAGTAGCTAAGGATCTCGTATCTACTAAATATTAAGACATTTGATTTTGAAAGTGCAATATATCTACATTATGATTGTAACTTGTCTTTGGGATGTCTCCCAGACTGGTCACTTTGCTCCTAGTGTTAGGTAAGTCTCATTTTAGAGACTTACCTAACATTCTACCTAAATACAAGTAGAACCATGTCGCTTTCCTGCTTAAAACCTCTCAGTTGCTTATCTGACCAAATCTCCTTTATTATCTTGCCTCTGTCCACCTCTCTAAACTCCTCTCTCCAGTAGAACTAACCTATTTGTGAAAAATACATTTCATTTTACACTGTATTATCTATTAACCCATACCATCTCTCTTAGAGTCCCACCCCCTGCTTTCCTACCTGGCAAACTCAGCATGCTTGAAACTTGCTCAAAAAAATCACCTTTCCCACTCCCAACTCCTCATTCCCTCTATGCTCATTGTTCATTCCAGGCTCAGCATTTTTACTGTACATAATTTGTGTATAATTGTGTTGCAGCATGTGCCACTCTGTTATGTAATTGTTTTCTAGTCCATCTCCTATGATAGATCATGGTCTTGTGTGACCTGGTCTGATTTTTTGTTCCTTACACCTACCACAGTACCTGGCACATAATTTGAAGTGTGCAACCTTATTGAAGAATACCCAGCTATCACTTAGGTTCAGTGGTGCTTTAGTCACCCAAGGAGAATATGTGTTAATTCATCAATCAACATTTTTCTGAGCTTGCTTTAACAAAGTAGCAATATTTTAAACTATTTTGTTGGTTTCCATTATTAGGTACATATCCAGAACCTAGAAAAAATAGAAACTATATTGTTAGTTTTTTTAAAAAAAGAATGCAGTTGATTGGAAAAAAATTAATTATGTATCTTCTCTCTACCACTCCTTTGTGATTTAGTTAAAATCATTTCTCTGTGCCTTAATTTTTTTAATCTAGCAAATAAAAAGCCTGGATTAATTTGTTGTTATTTTAACTTATTTTACAGTGCTTCTTGCTGCACTATATAGTTGTTTCTTTAAGAGAAAACTGTTTCAATGTCTTATGAGTTACATTTTGTATCTTAAAAATTTCAAAATGTTAAAATTTTTCTTTCTACCGTGTTTGACAGAAAGAAGCTTTATTTAGACTTCCAGTTGCTCAGGCCACTTTTAAGCCACTGGCTGACAAATATTTTTGGAAGTAGAATCTCTCTTTCAAATGAGATCTTACAAAAACCTCAACACTTAAGGCAAATGGAGGTTCAAGTTTATTATAAGCTTATTTTAAATTTATTATAAGTCTGTTTTAAAGACACCCAGATTATGTATATATTTTGATTTGGTTGTCCAGTATGAAGAAAATCCTGTTTCACAATTAAGAAGCTGAAATGGTAACTTATTTTAACTACTACAGCAATTTAATTGGAATCTCAGGAAACTTCAGTTAAAACGTTCAAGTAGTTTGCAAATAGGAGAAAACATTTTTTTTTCCTAAATTTAATCTTAAACAATATCTACCAACTTTGCAGGTATTAGATCTTATAAAAGGCAAGACCTAAATCTTACAATTTAAAATATGTAGTACGATACTATCACAATTTGACATACTATTTCTCTTTTTATTGTAATAGATGCTGTCACGGGGAAGAAAGATGAGTTCTGAATCTTGCATGGTATTTAATTGAGCCAGGTGATATCTTTGAAAATTAAAACTACTTTCTAAAATTTGAATTCGAAATGAACCATTTTTGGGACCTACCCCCTACAAGTCCTCCGTAGAATCCTTTTCTTAGAATACAGTTTAGAGGCTATTACTTGAGATAATGATTTTGAGAAAGTGTTACCAATACATTTTAGCCCTTAATATTAGTTCAGTATAAACACTGTACATTTAACATCTCCTAAAAATGATATTTTTCTAAAAGAATGCAAATAGAGTCAGAACTCATTTTTCTCCTTAAACCGTTATACCATGTTTTAGGTATTGTTCAAACTACTTGAAATTTGACCATTAATAAGCCTATGAGGCAGGGCTTCTAGATCTTATGGATCATGAAATTAAGGCAGGTAAAAGGTCACAGCTAGTAAGTGATGAGTGGCAGAACCAGGATTCAAATCCAGAGACTCTGGCTCTAGAGTTCATGCTCTTAATCCCTGTGCTGCACCACCTGTCACAGTGAAGACCCCTGAATTCATTGTGAAGAAGGTAGGGTGCTTTGAAGTATATTGTGGTATATGTATGTGTCCATGTATTTTTAATTACTGATATTTTCTAGTTGTTAATGCTTTCTAATATTCCATAATCAAGTGATCAATACATAGATAATTCTATCAAGTATTGGTTAAAGTTTAATATTAAGTACAATAACATATAAAAGTAGTTTTTAACATAAAAAATTTTAACAAATTAAAATTTCAAATAAATTTCAATTTCCATGTTAATATAGTTTAAGTTTAGAACAAGATATCACTACACATTATGTTGCTGTTCAAAGTATGGTCATCTTATTTAAGAACCAGTTTGGGTGGCATATTCTACTTCAAATTATGAATTAAAATTATGAAATCTGTCTTTAGAATATGTGTATTACCTTAATAGAAATACTTAGAGTTTTAATGGATAGAAATTTGGTACAGTTCAAATATTATTTCTTGAAAATAAAAAGATAGTTAAATAGTTACTAAGCCATCTATAAATTAAAAACGTATGGCCTTTTGATAAGCAATGAACTGAATTTATTCTTATTTTAAAAACTAATAGAAAAATATCTGTGAAGAACTTACCAAGTAAATGGTAAGTACAAGAAGGTTTTGTGCTTAAGAAAAATATTTAAATATTCAAATATTTTAAATGTTTTACATATATTTAGAGAAAAAGACTCCAATTAGTGCAGTATATAGATTGATAATGAATTAAAATTGATATAATAGGAACATTTAGGTCATCAGCATAGCATATTTATTTTGGATAACTTACAGTATCCTTTTCTGTGATAATTTAAATTAATGATCACTATTTATATATGATAAATATATAAATGTATTTATATATTTATTTAAATATATTTATAAATTTATATACCATTGTTTCAAACTATTCTTTTATTCTCCTATTTCATTATTACAAGTGAATCCCAGAAGACTGTTGACTATACAACTGCTTATTAATGTAATTATTTGTTCTGCTTCTTACTGGGTGACCCCATTCAAGTCTCTTAATCTCCATGAGTCTTCAGCTGTGAAACAGGGATATAAATGGTTTCTTGTAGCATCACTGTGATGATTAAATTAATACAGGTAAAGTATCTAGCCTGTGATAGGTGCTCAGAGAAGGTTAGCTTCTTTCCTATCTTAGTTATTTAAGAAATAAGTCATGTTATAGTTATATACGATATTTTCTCAGTATTCTAAGACACAGTTTAACATCTCTAAAAATTCAATGCATCTTACAATCAAGAGTGACTTGTCAAACAGATGTCAAACAGATGGCAGCTGTGAACAGTTGTCAATGCTCATGTGCGTTTATGTTTTCTTTTTATGTATATGATATGCAGTAACATCTGATATATGCATACATATGACATACATATGTCTTTTAATTGGTGGCATATCATCTTTCTAGTGGCACATAAATTGACAGCCTGTCTTGTGATTGATGGCACTTTAATTTCAAAGAAATACTTAAGGAAGAATAATCTTGTCTTAGACATAATAATAGCACTATTTCTTAGTTTTCATTCTGTTTGTTCTTCTTACAGACTTTATGCAGTCGGTGGTCGTGATGGAAGTTCTTGTCTCAAGTCAGTAGAATGTTTTGATCCTCATACTAATAAATGGACACTGTGTGCACAAATGTCAAAAAGGCGAGGGGGAGTTGGAGTAACCACCTGGAACGGACTGCTGTATGCTATTGGAGGACACGATGCTCCCGCATCCAACTTAACTTCCAGACTCTCAGACTGTGTGGAAAGGTAATTTCCTGTGAAGGAAAACGTCATCATCATCATCATCATCATCATCATCATACAAATATAAGCCTCTGATACTTCCAGACAAATTAATTCTTTATTGAGCATCTACCATATGCAAAGTGGTATGTGGTAGGAGCTTTGTGAATTTTGGGTTATCTGCTCTGGCCATGTCTCAGCCTGTCTCCTAACAGCCTCCTCAGATTCTTCTCTCATCATGTTGCTGCCTACTTAAACTTTACCTTAAATTTGATTATATAATTTATTAATAGAATCATATGACAAGTTTATTGTGGACCTATTTTTGTACTGGACACTATATCTAGTAAGAAAAGGAGCTCGGTGAATTTCAGAGAGAATGAATTAGAGGCTGGAAGTTAAGTAAGAAGTGAAAAGGAATAGGACATTTCTAATACATTTTGGTATAAAATGAAAGAATATGAAATATTAAAATAAAAGCCTAATAAGGCTTAAAAGCTTTAATAAGTCATCCAGATTGACCTCATGAAACTCAAGTATGGGGCCAGGTAAAGAACCTAACATCAGTGGGAGATTTGGACATTAGTTCAGGTTCCCATCTGTTGTGTTTAGTCGAGTTCAAGGAATGAAGAAAATTGAATGGATTTAGGAGGTAGAGCCAATAGGAGCACGTATGAACACTCCAAAGCAGAAAGCAGTGAGATTCATTCAGAAAACTGAAAGGCGGCCGCTGTAGCTGGAGAACAGAGTGTGGAGAGAGTGTCAGGAAAGGAGGAAGAATGGGGTGGAGGTATCAGCAGGTCATGTAGAGTCTTGAGACCTTATTAAAGATTTTGGGTTTTAAAGTGCAATGGGAAGTTAATGAGAGAGAAAGGGGGAGGGAGGGGGAGAGAAAGAGAGAGACTCGAGATTGATATAATAAATATAAATAACTAGAAGAAGAATGAAAAGTGAAACAGAACTTTGTTGATGACAATGAGCAATGAGTGCTTTCTGTGAAATAACAAGCAGAGTTGGCTGGTGTTTCAG